CAAAATCACACAACAGCAAACCAGCACTGGGTTGCTAAGCAAATTAAACTCATTAATTGGGAAAATGATGAGCTCATTCCTTGTATAGCCACAATAAACTTTTATGTACTCTTGCTGGGAAAGAATATTAAAGATATGATTACTGTTGTTATAAAATTATTATTTCCTTTGATATTGTTTATTTAGCCACCAGTATTATTGACTAGCACTTGTAGCCTTATCATGACTGCCAATTCAGCTCAAAAGCAACTGCTAATGAAGATTAATAATGGCTGAACATGCTTCAACTGTCTAGCTGTACTGCATCATGTGTGGCTTATTGCTTCAGTCTACATAGCTACTGTATTGTCTCATCAGTATCATGAATATCCATACAAACTGCAACATGTTCCAATGGATAAACAAGTATCAACATACCATAAATGACCAATCCAAGTTATGCTACATATCACAACCAGCAGCAACTACTAAAATGATAGAGATTGAGTGACTCAATCTCTATCATTTTAGTAGTTGATTCTATACATAATAATGACCACAGTCACTATGTGATCTGCTTTGGCTTAATTTAACCTCAATGATCTATGCTTGGCTCTCCCTCCCTCTGTCACTGCTTCTTCTACTGAATACAATTGCCAAAATATGTAGACAGTTGAAAGTAACTCAATGGTATTATTCTGATATTAATTTATAAAGTGTAAAGTATGACAAAGATTAGTAGCAGTAAAAGTAAGTGGAGCTATACTGCTCAAGAGAAAAGAAGAGAGAATTCGTGCTTTATGTGCTGCACATAATTGTTGCACTGTAGTGGTGTGGTGGAAAATGCTATTGAAGAAAAACGAATGAAAAATTCCAAATATAACCTCCTTCTATCCTAAGAAGAGGCAGTCATTATCCTTGGGGCAATAGACATCGACATGAGCTCTTGGAAGAGAAGCTTGCAAGCATAGGGTATCTCAATCTGCGATATCTGGGTCTTGTTCTTACAGCCTCTGCACTCAAAGGAGTTGGTCTGAAGGTTAGCAATGGCGATGAGACCACAGAGATTGCAGAGGTGGATCTTGTACGCGTCAGAGACAGTGTAGAGCCTTTCGTGGAGGAACTGAGCAGCTCCGTGAGCTATTTGACAATCACGTTCCATTTCACCAAACCTAAGACCGCCATCCCTAAAAGAGAAGAAATATTATTATTATATTAATCTCTCATATTATTATTGTCATCATTATTATTAATCTCTTATCTCTTACCTTGATCGTCCCTCCAT